AATGTGATCTATTATGTTTTGATATCAATTGTTCAATCTTATAGACGAGTTTCAAAAAGAAGGATAATGGTCATGATACCTTTGAAAATAATGCCAAAAGAAAAATCATTGAAATTATTGGTAATCACCTATCTCCCTTTATTGAAAAACGCTCTCTTAATAGATAATATTAAACATAATCTATTTAGTTTTCAGTCAATTGTGTGATAAATGTTATCATATCAAATTTGATTCTTCTAAATGCCTTATTGAGAATATTACATCAAAAGAGGCGATGTCTATAGGAGCCGAAATAAGGATGTTATGTCATAAACATGGAGTTTGGAAGTAAAGAAAAATGTTTATCAAAGCTAAAGGATACTTGATTGTGGGATAGAAGATTAGATCATGATAGCATGGACCTGCTTTCAAATATTTACAAAAATTGTTTTGTTAAAGGTATGCCATATTTGAAATCTTGAGAAAGTAAAAAATTTGTGATGCAGGTCAATTTTAAAAACAAGTGAAGAGTTCTTTCTAACTTAAGCAATATTGTTTGACGACAAAATATGTTCAACTTCTTCACAAGCTCAAATGGTAAGTATTATACTTTCATAGTTGTTGATGACTTTTTTATATTCACTTGAATCCTATTTTTTAACCTAAAGCATGAAACTTTGAACCGTTTAAACATCTTTGTAAAATGGTTCAAAATGAAAGGAATATACTAGTATATGTGTGAAGTAATCATAATGAAGAATTTGATAATATTGATTTGGGCGATTTTTAAAATTGATGGCTATTTCTTGGCTTCTAGAACTCATCGACAAAATGGTGTTGTAGGAAGGAAGAATCGCACATCGCAAAGACTATGTTAAATGAAAATAATTTACTTCAAATTGTTTGGTTGCAAATGATTTATCTTAAACACTAAAGAAAATTTGGGAATTATCAATGAATTTGAAGAATGTGGCTAAATTAAATTCAAACTAAATGTCTGATTGATTCTATATGCATAATTGGTTGGAGTATATATAAATTTTACCCAAATGATTATACTTTAGTCAGTTCACTACTCATGCTTTGATTAATATTTTTACTATAAAGCGATGATTATCCTCTTATTTAAACTTACATATATTTGACATCTTGTACTTGATTGAGAGGGAATATATGACTATTTTATGTGGTTGAATTAAAAGGGTCGATCTTATGGCATACTTTTCCTCTCATATATGCTTATTTTTTGTTTATGCTAAAAAGGAAAATTGAGTGATAGACTTGAAATGCATTGAAATGGGAAAATCTTTTATTGTTTTTTTATGGTCATGTTTTGATCATAAATGTTATATCTTTTTGTTTATGCCAAAAGGGGGAAATGAAGTGAGATGATTATGTATGCTTCAAATTGAAAATATAATATGTTTAGAATATATGGACAAGGGGGGAAAAGAATGAATGTATGCTTTGAATATATGGTTATTGATTTTTAAAAGATAGGGTGAATATGAATTATATGATAAATTTATAATGTATATTTCTTTGATAAAAAATTTTCAATCTTACCTTGCAAATCATCTTGTTTGTCATAATCAAAAAGGGAAAAATTGTTTACATATAGTCGACTTCATCTTCAATATTTTGATCATAACAAACAAAATTAATATTGTTTCTAACAATTTATTTTTAGTGATGATAGTTCAATATTAAAATCAATCAAGAATTATATATCGAACTTGAAATTAAGATCAAAGTGGAAGCCAAACATTCAAGTCAAATCATTCGAGACGAGAGCTTAAAAGGTAAACATCAAGAAAGATCAAGAGCAAGAGCATGAAAGACGACATCAAAGAAAGATCAAGATGAAAAGTCTAAGAGGCAAACTTCGGAGCAAAGATTTGATTTCTTGGGCAAAATGTAAATGTACTAACACTTTGGTATTTGGCAATCAATAGTTAAGCTCAAAATCTTTCTAGATACAAAAAATAATTTTTGTGCATTAAAAATCATTCGAATGCAATGTTTTGATACTTTTAAAAACAATATTTGGACATTGAAAACACTTTTTATCTTGAAAAGTTATTAAAAATAATTTTCAAAAGTCCATGTATACACTCAAATTGGAACAAATGGGACCAAAACGTACAAAAATCGCATTGCCACGGTGGTCAACCTTCCAAAGAGGCGGTCCACCGGACCTCCTTCAACGGTCCAACATTTGACTATTTTGACCTCTGATTTTTACTGTATAAACGGTTATATTGGTCATTCGAACAAGAGGCGGTAGATCAGACATTCTTCCGAACTTATGGATTTATTTTTTATTTATTTATTTATTTTTTACGTTTTCAAACTCTATATATATCTTCACTCTTTTCATTCTTCACAAGATTTTCAAGTGTATCAAAATGAAATATTTTTGTTTTAAGAAATCTTTGAGCTTTCCTTTGTATTCATTTTATTTATTTCTTAATATCAAAACTTTTATTGATTTAACCTCTTTAATCATCATCTTCATCAAGTTTTTCATCTCTCTTTTTGTACTCAACTTATTTTTATCATTCATAAAAGATAAATATTCTGAAGAAAAGTTTTGAATTTACATTGTATCATTTCTACTGCTTCATATTGAAAACTTTGATTGATTTATTCAAACTTGCAAATCATCATATTCATCAAAGTTTCTCATCTCTTTCTTGGTACTTAATTTATTATAATCATTCATTAAAAAAAAAAGATTTATTATGAGAAGATTTTTAAACTTACATTGAATTTATTTCTTCTTCATTTTCTCATTGAACCACTTTGATTGATTGAATTTAATTTTTAATTATCATATTCATCAAAAATTTTCATCTAACACTTGAGCTATCATTTATTCCTATTCATTGAAGTGTTACCCTCTCTTAGTAATTAACTTATTTGTATCATTTATCAAGAGAGGAATTATATTGTAAAATCACTTTGGTAAAGTGTGGATCATGTTGAAGCTCGTAAAGGTTAACATTGTATAAGGATCGGTGTTCCTTGTTGTGAGTCATAGTGTGGGTCATATTGAGATCTCGTAAAGCTCAATAATGTAGGTCATATTGAGGTCCCGTGAGCTCAATAATATGAATCGTGTTGAGGTCCCATAAAGCACAACACTGTATAAAGATGGGTACTCTTTATTTGTAAGTTACCGAAAGTGTTGTAAATGGTTGGATTGTACCATAAGTTAATCGACATAGTGAAAAGGCCTTACTTCTGCCGGAAAACTTGGTAACAGAGGACGGAGATCATTGCTTTGGATCGAACCTCCACAATTATATCGTTTGCATCCTCTCTCTCTTTTACTTATCGCTTTTATATTGCTTTTATTATTTGAATTTACATTTTTAGTCTTTACTTGCTTTCATATTTGTGCATATTTGTTTAATTGTCTCATTCCTATCTTATTGTTTTAAATCTAGAATTAATTTTTGAAAAAAATAAAAAAATCAAACACTAATTCACCCCCTCTTGGTTAGTCATTCTTGGGATTTTCTAGGCTAGGAAGATGCTCATGGTTTGTTTATATGTTGATGATTTAATATATCCCGAAAATGATAAGATTTTATTTGACAAATTTAGAGAATCTATGATGATTGAGTTTGATACGACTGATCTTGGTATGATGTATTATTTTCCAGGTATAGAATTGAATCAATTAGCTCTTGGTATCTTTATTCAAGAAATTTTAGATAGGTTTTGAATGAAAGATTGCAATGCTGTTAGCACAGCAGCTTCATGAAGATCTTGAAGGAAGAAAGATCGATAACACAATCTACTAGCAAAATTTAGGAAGTCTTATGTATTTAACAGCAACAAGTCCGGATATAATGCCAGCGGACATGGAATGTCCACAGAAATTTATCTCTTAGCTGCAAAACGTATTATCAAATACTTACAAGGTATTTATGATTATGGACTATTCTATAAGTACAAGGAAAAATCATATGTGTGTGGCTTCATAGATAGTGATTATGCTAGAGATCAAAATGATAGAAAGAGCACTTCAGGATATTTATTTATGTTGGGAACAACGACTGTCTCATGATCTTCAAAGAAGCAAGCGATTGTTACTTCGTCAACAACTAAAGCAAAATTTGTTGCTGCAACTTGTGCTTGTTAAGCAATTTGGCCGAGAAAGATTCTTAAAGAACTGCATATAAAGCAAGAGAAAGACACGACAATCTATTGTAACAATAGTTTAGCAATCAAGCTATCAAAAAAATCTTGTCTTACATGGAAGAAGTAAGCACATAGATGAAAGATATCATTTTATAAGAGATCTCACAAAGCAAGAAGTCATTGATCCCATCTACTGCCGGAATGAAGATCAAATTGTTTATATGTTCACAAAGCCCCTTAAGTTACCAGCCTTTTTTGTTGGGGATTGATTAAAAACCGAATGAAAAAGAAGGAATATCGAATGCTCGAAAATATACGTAATATAGTGCTGCTGCACTTTTTTATGATTGCAGAAGAGAAGATATTATATTGTAAATTTTTGTGACTTCGATACTTTTAATGGCTTGAGTTACATGGGTATTTATAGATAAGATTTAACATGTATCTACCCTAACTCATGAACCAATATTGAATAGATACGTTTCTCCTCCTCTAGTACATTAATGGACAAATGTATGTATTAATTATAATTCATGAATCTAGATAATATATACAAATTACGTTTCCAACACCCCCTCTTAATTTGTAATTTTGAGAATGTCTCTTGCCTTTTGAAATTTCTCGACATAGATCGCCTTGGTTAGAAAGTCTGCGGGTTGCTCATTCGTTCCAATGAATTCCAAGCTGATTTCACCATTACTCACCATATCTCGGATGAAATGATGTCGCAACTCAATGTGTTTTGTTCTCGAATGAAACACCGGATTTTTTGTCATGGCTATCGTAGACATATTGTCACAATAAATTACTGTGGGCTGTTTTTGAACTTGTTTCAAATCTGCTAGTAATCGTCTCAACCAAATAGTTTCTCAAGTTGCATCTGTAGCAGCAATATTCTCAGCTTCCGCTGATGATAACGCTACTATTTTTTGCTTCTTTGAACTCCATGAAACAACATTAGTTCCAAGACAAAATAAATAACCTGAAGTGCTTTTTCTATCATCCAACGAACCTCCCCAATCACTGTCGCTATATCCAATCAACTTGCTCTCATTTTCTTTTACATATTTGATGCCTATTTTCTTTGTTCCTTGCAAGTATCTCACGACTCTTTTAGCTGCTGCAAAATGAAGTTGACTTGCTTCATTCATGAACCTTGAGATCATGCTCACAGCTTGAACAATATCCGGCCTTGTGTTTGTGAGATAAATCAGTGAACCAACAAGACTCCTAAACAGTTTTGCATCTATTTTTTTTTGCTCTGTCATCTTTTCTCAACTTATCGTTCGCTGCCATAGGAGTTGAAATTGATTTGCAATTCTCCATATGAAATTTCTTCAGAAGATCTTCTGTGTATTTCTCTTGAGAAATAAAGATTTCTCCTTTGGACTGCTTCACTTGTATTCCAAGAAAATACTTCATGACTCCTAAATCAGTCATCTCAAATTCATTCATCATTTTT